TTTTTTTTTCACATAGAAAAACGATATTTTGTATTATAATCTTCTGCTAAATAATTCTATCACAACTCTCATAACAATTCACATATATAACTTCTAAATTACATGGCGTTGTAGAGGGTCAACTATTCCGTATTGTTAGCAGAATTGCATTACAACGTAACAAGGTTGAGTACATAACTGCATATTATCATGTAGATAATCTGTGAACTAGATCAACGTGAATGCAATCATATAATATATCCAGCATGATTTTATGTAAATTTGACCATTTTTCTTCCGTTTTTATTGACTAAAATTTATTACCATCATATTTTTTTTTATTTTTTAAAAATCAGATTAGTGTTCATTGCTGTAGGATTGTAATAAGATTCTCGGAAAAATTAATGTTATGCAATAAATAACGATTTATCAAACCAAATTAAGAAAAGATACTATTTTTCAAAATTATATTTAGGTAAAGAACGCTATTCTGACGGATGAAATCTACTGTCCTCCGGAAACGTCTGTATTGTTAGCATCTTATGCAGTCCAAGCGAAACATGGAGATTTTCAAAAAGGTACGCATACTGCTGGTTTTTTGATAAACGACCGCTTGCTGCCACAACGAGTTGTGGATCAACATAAAATGAGCAAAGAGGAATGGGAAAGTTCGATCACTAACTGGTGGCAAGAACACCGTGGAATGTTACGAGAAGATGCAATGATGGAATACCTAAAAATCGCTCAGGTAATTATTTGATAGTTTTTCTCTATTATTTTATTATTTAATTAATAATATGCATTTTTTTTTTATATAGGATTTGGAAATGTACGGAGTGAATTATTTTGAAATTCGAAATAAAAAAGGCACAGATCTGTGGCTCGGTGTTGATGCTTTGGGTTTGAATATTTACGAGAAAGATGACAAATTGACGCCAAAAATTGGTTTTCCATGGTCTGAGATAAGAAACATCTCCTTCAATGAGAAGAAATTCATAATTAAACCAATTGACAAGAAGGCACCTGATTTTGTCTTTTTTGCGACTAGAGTTAAGATTAATAAGCGAATTTTAGCACTATGTATGGGCAATCATGAACTCTACATGCGTAGACGTAAACCAGATACAATTGATGTACAGCAGATGAAGGTATTTTTTTTTTTTATGCCAAAACTTAGTTGTTAAAATTAATAATGTTAGAAATAATGAATAGACTCTGTAATTATAAAATAAAATGTTACAATTGAAAGGCACAAGCAAGGGAAGAGAAAATCGCAAAACAACAACAAAGAGAAAAGTTACAACTAGAAATAGCTGCAAGAGAACGCGCTGAGAGAAAACAGCAAGAATATGAAGAAAGGCTTCGAAATATGGCAGAGGAAATGGACAGGCGGCAAGCTGAATTAAACGAAGCTCAAGAAATGATCCGACGTTTAGAGGAACATCTTAGACAGTTACAAGCTGCAAAGGAGGAATTAGAAGATCGTCAGAAAGTACGTACGATTTAAAGTGAAGTATAGTATTTTTAGAACATACATTTCTACATGCCTTATTTTTATCTGAAGGAACTTACGGCTATGATGGAGAAACTTGAACTGTCACATGAAATGGAAGCGGCAGAGCGTGCTAAACTCGAACAAGAAATACGAGCTAAACAAGAAGAAATACAGCGTATACAATCTGAAGTAGTGGCAAAAGATGCTGAAGCAAGGAGGCTAGAAGAAGTATTTGAAGCTGCTAAGTATGTAATTTGTACCTTTATATTGTAAGATATTAGAAAGAAGCAACTCTATTCTAATTTACATTTATGTATTATATAGATTGAGGCAAGAAGAAGCTGATCGAGCTTATCAAGCTAGTACAACACCGCATCATCATCATGTTGAAGAAAATGAAGAAGGTGAAGAGGAAGGAGAAGACGAAGTTTCTCACGGCGATGTTACTAAAGATCTTGCAACTGATGAATCGATAATTGATCCTGTTGAAGAGCGACGTACTTTGGCAGAGAGAAATGAACGTCTTCACGATCAACTTAAGGTATCAATGTTTACTTTTATATAAATCTATTGTATCCTGAATGAAGCTTTCTGGATGCATTTGAATAATAATTCAAATGTTTCAGGCATTGAAGCAAGATCTTGCACAGTCACGCGATGAATCAAAAGAAACTGTTATGGACAAAATACACAGGGAGAATGTCAAACAAGGTCGTGATAAATATAAAACGCTCCGTGAAATTCGCAAAGGCAATACTAAGCGTCGTGTTGATCAATTTGAGAACATGTAAATTATGTATGCATTTGCCTGTTTGTCTGCCCATTTCATCCTGCCTTTGAATTATCTTTCAATATCGTGTACACATGCAACATTCAATAATCACTTATTCTATGTAAGAGACGTACAAAGTTCTCTGATTGATCAAAGACAATTTATAAAACTTCAAGTATATTGTTTTATAATATTTTTTTGGAGATGTTTCGAGGTATAAGTCGCTCCCAATTTACAGCGATGAAAAGTTTATAATATATATTACTATTTTTCGAAGTCGATTCTATACTCTCAGATACAGTTAAGTGAAAAAATAAACTCATAATTGGCAAGGAACGCGACGAGCGACCAACTTGCGCCGTCTTCCACGTATGCTTCCACGTTATCGCTGTTAAGCAATTTTCGTAAAGCAAAATGTTTATATATTTTTCCATAACAAGTATAAATTTTCTTGCTGTTTTAGCTATAAAATATTTAATGTTAATTCATAATAACTTTGTTATTTTAGCTATGTTACTAGCTAATGTTGTTTTTTTCTAACGATATCCTTTTTTGCTAAAATATCAAGAAAATATGTTACATAATTTGTGAATATTATTTTATTTTTGTCCAAGCATTATATACAGGATTTTGAGTACCGGCGCATCAGTATTTTCTTTTTCGAAGTATTACTGTCGGTCACTAAGCGTGATGCCACACATGTGACTTGTTTTCAGTGATTATTTTCTCGTCGCGGTTCTTATCATGTTGCGTCTTGTCCGTCCTTGATAAGGATTTGCCCGAGAAACACTTTGTATTGTTACTTGCGTCATCATTCACTTCTGTTGACAAATTAAGATTACTTCTGTCAATAGCGGTCGCTATACATCTAATATACATATCAGTTTCCAGTTTTATTCCCATGTATCATTTTACTATTTACAGTAACAAATATAATCAGATTATTAGATATAATCAGATGAATTAAGCATTTTAAAGCAGTGTGGAGCAGTCACCATTATTTTTTAGTGAGTTATAAATAATCTCTAAATATTAGCCTAAAATAGATTGATAATGTACAAGCGACCGCTTAATTTATGAAATACCGAAATCAACGACCGTCTTCACAATAAATGTAGACATGTAAGCACGTCATATAAACTGTTTGCAAAAATTATATATACTACTTTAGTACGAACGAATTTCAACTACTGTTTGATAATTTTATATTGAACACACTCGTGGCCTTTATTGATATACGTATATTAAAATAGATATTAATAATTAATCAATAATCTAATATATAGAATTGTAGGGATATCGCGCGTCTCTTTGTATTGCATACCTTCAACATAAGGTAATTGCGCGGTTCCTATATGAAGAAATAGGTATATCAAGATTCTTGAAAGTATGAAAGAATGAATGTGAGCGAGAATGCTATAATAAAAAATAATACGTATGAAAGGTCGAATGCTAGAAGAACTATAATATGTGGCTGTCTGGTACGCCACATAAAAATTTTAAAACAGTTCTCTTTTTAAAGAAAATTATACGGTATAACAATGAAAATTAACTAAACTAAAATTAGGGAAAATATAGCCTATAAATGCTGCCAATTTTTTGACGGAATGCAAACAAAGAGCGATATTGTGAGATGACACATTTTTTGCAATAATGGAGCAGGGAAGATGATGGGAAAATTTAAAAGCTGACCATTGTATCGAAATTCATTTTATGTGTATCATCATCATCACATGTTACATCCGAACCCGAAGTGAAAAATCCGAAAGGAAAAGTACAGGAAAATAACAATAAATATTTTTTGATTATATTTAATACTACAATTTACAAATTAGTAGTGTTATTATTATTATTATTATTATAATATTATAAATATTATTAATATTTACAATCTAGTAGCGTTATTATTATTGAAATAATATTAAATGAGAATTGAAGCAAAGGATTTTATAGTCGTGTATTTGTACTCTCCAAACAATCGAACGTGCATAGCAATAACTAAATATTTTCTACAATGTGACGTCATGCTCTAATGTTTAAAGACAGACAAATCATAGTAACTCGTCTGGATATTCTAGCCGCAAGCGAG